TATCGTGTTTTGCGTTTATCCTATCGTGCGTGTATCCTGTCCTATCGTGCGTGTATCCTATCGTATCGTGCGTGTATCCTATCGTATCGTGCGTGTATCCTATCGTATCGTGTATCTTGTAAAGAATAACGATGCGGGTACTGTACCTCTTTAGAAAATATTTGACGAGAAATTGAACTGACATACATAAGAAGAGGTAATATCCTCTCTTTATTGCATTTTAAAAAATGGATTATAACTACATACAATCCTCCAGCAAACTTCAATAAGAGGACACACTTCTCTTGTAGATTCATTCAGAATATCTTCAATTTATCCTCATTGAACACTTGTGCTAGTCAAATATAAACACGATTCATTAATTCTAAGTCTACGAGAGTGTAAAGGGGGCGTTTCACATTCAATTTTTCGCTTATAATTGAATACCTGTATGTGCATATCTGACAATAACTAGGAACAATGATAATTAAATTTCAAATGGTCAACATCAAAACATTTCACGGTTACTTAAAAACAATCCTAACACTTGAATTAAACAATATTACCCCCCCCCCCCCAATGAAAAATAACTGCATATCATGTAAAATTAACGTAAAGTTTATGACACTTTCCCCGTCATGTAAGCTCAAGAATGCAGTGAAATGATGTCATTTCTATTTCTTAAGATGATAAAAAGACTGAAATTGTTATTTGGATTTTTTTGTAGATTTATTTTAATAAATAACATAGTCATAGCTGAAAAATTGTTTGATAAAACGATCTTCATAGGCCATTATTTCTTTGTTCATTATTAATAAAATATAAATATTATTAAAAATTAATAATATTTTAGCATCAGTATTCATATTTACGCTTTTCCTGTAAGTGTTCGATATCGCATCTTGACCCTACAGAGCGTTATGATTTGCTTATTTAGATTTTAATGGGACTAATACGTTAGTCTTTTCTCAATAAATAATTTCATTTTTGTGTAAAAATATACATATCTTACCTAGATTTCACTTTCTTTCTTTAATTTAATTACGGGATTGCCCAGAGGACATTTTTGTTTACAATGGGGCCTTGTATATTGAACCTTCGTATTCGTAATGTTTCGGGTTTACTCGTATACGTAATGCAAACTCAGCGTTCAATAAAACGACAAGATATTGAATGCTAAAATCCTCTAGATTTTTGGTAGTATTTACTTAGAGACTATTTATTAGCTATATATTAATATATATTTATTCAATTCTAATTATTTGGCAGCGTTTATTTTATATTGACACCAACTCATGTACAATACTCTATTCCCAACCACCTTTGCCCCCCCCCCCCCCCTTCCCCTTGATTTCCTTCAATTTTTTGCAATAGAAAATTCTTGAAATTAAACAACTCTGATAAGAACTAAACAACTTAAACTTGTAACACTGTGCCGAATAAAGGGGCATTTTGGAGCCCGCCAAATTCTCATTTCACATAAAACAGTGTATACCAAGTGGTAGACCGTCACTCACAGAGTTCATAACTACCTTTGTTACAGGTAAATCTCACCTGTCAAATGAGATAATCACCTTTGAACAAACAATTTCCATGGGAAAAATTAAAGTTTCTGTATGAAAATTGGAAATCCTAAGGGATATTATCAAAATCCGGCAGGGTTTCACAATTTCCTGCAGAAAATTTAAAAATTCAATTAGGACTTTAATTCGCATTGGCAGAATTTAATTTAATGTATACTAGGCAAGTTAGTTCAAATGACTTTTAAAGAAAAATGTACGTAGGAAAAAGAATAAAGAAATAAATCATGGCTTAAACTGATGAAAATACATCTATGAAATAGATAAGAATAAGGATTCATTGAATAAATAAAAAAAACGATATTTTTTTCATAATAAAGTTTAATTCATATTATATGCACATTTTAAAAGTATTTTGACAGTTAATCACACATGTCGAGGATCAGTACCTATCCTTGTGACTGTATTGTAATAACCTTATCTGCTTTGAGCTTAAAGGATAATTTTATTTTTCTTTTGAATATGAATAAAATTGTATACTCATGTATTCCATTGGTATATCAATGTGAATTTTAAGATGGGAGAAAAGAAAACATGCTGATATCTTAAGTGTTACATGCGTATCGTTGACTTCAATACCATTGATTCCTATGTATATTTTTGGGATATACATGAAGATATTTCTGACATACTTCTTCACTTAGTTTTCTTTCATAAAATTTTACAGGCCTAATCAAATGTCTATTGTTAGATGAAATTTGTTAAACTTAATAAATTATTTTATTCTTTGTTGCATTATGCAATTTCCTTTGAATCGAAAAGGGTCTTTATATATATTTTTTTTAATTCTATAACGCAGCACATTTAAGGTTACAAAAAGGGGGCGGAACCTAATTTGTACGGGAAAACGTAACTATGACATCATATAAAATATACAGCATACAACAATTCTTGAAAATACCACAAAATGAGGTGATTTTGTATCTTAACCTGTAGGAAAATAATAAACTATATCAAAACTCACTACAGCATGCTGTTTTGTCGTTAGTTAAATCCCATATATAACAAGTTATAAACAAGTCACTGATCGTTATCAGTTTGTCAGTGTACAACGGGATTTCGCAATACGCGACGCAGTTTGTATGAAGGCAGATCAAGTAATATTTTCTCAAGGAAAAATACATCACTATAATTAGATAAAATATTGTTTACAGATTGAAAGCCTATAGGCTATTAACTGTCTTCAATGGTCTTCTTCACGATTGCATTAATATGTTTCCTGTACATTTCGTACATGTATTTAATTGATACTGCTGTATATTTGTATGCAAGTACATCAGAGGGCAATGTTAGGTCTTAAAAAATCGATCTAATGCAAGGGCATAGACTCAATTGAAGCTTGTACGTGTAAGAATAAAGGTTATAGAAATTATGATGCATATAATTACCAAGAGGTTAACTTGTTAGGATGCAAATAAGACAATCTACTGGCAACCCCCTGATACATTTCAATTTGGTCCTCTTTGAAATTGACAGTCCGTTATTTTAACTCAAAATAAATCCACTGTTTATGTTACTTAATATTCATATTAAAATAAGGTAATTCGGATAGTTTTCGGACAATTTCAAAAGTTTCATTCCATATGTTTTAGGAGAAACCGTTCTAAAAATTGTTTATAACCACGGTGCACACTTAACAACTTAACACAAATATAGTGTCATGGGATTTTCAAAATAACTTTTTTTCATACAGTCTAGGTAGTCTGACTTAATATCCGCTCATTACGACAGCGCCCTATTTTTATTCTAGTAGCACCAGTAGTTGATTTAAGGGGGGGGGGGGGCGTACCCGGCGCCCTCCCCCCTTAAATTGTCAATTTGAAAGTTAACGTAAATCACAGCTTCGTCTAGAAAATATAAAAATGCCTATTTCGTAGACCTCATTTTTACCCTACAAAATCTCTAGAACCCAGAAGCTTCCGTTATCACTGTAAATTTTGCTTTTTTTAGTAGTATCTGATCTTTTATAAAGTCTGTAGCATTACATGTAGAATACATATGTGACTCTAAACACATGTTCACTGCTCCCTTCTGACATTGGATTTTCTTCCATCAGTATGTTAAGGGTTTTCTGAGGTTATCCTCATGTGTACACAAAATAATATAAAGTCAGTGGCTGTTCCTATCCTTTTAAAACAAGGGCTACCTAACGTCAGAGTTTTGAAGAATTTCATTAGTACACACAATTTAAATTTCCTTTTTTAACAACGTTTTACAAATCTGGATATAATCTGACAATGGGTACAAAAAGTTATGTCGCGTGTCTGAGAACTTTCCCAACAACCCTAGTTCTCTTGTGAAGTTTTTCCATTTCTTTGTAAATAATTTTAAACTCTAGGACATAAAATAATATCAATCAAAGAACATGAGATGTTTGCCCTTTAAAGAAAAGATAATCAAAGATATTATAGATAAACTTTATTAGATAAAAATGATATTTTCTGCCTTTTCTCTACGCTAACGGAAAGCCTTTAACTGAAAAAAAAAATATTTAGATACTTTGATTTACCATGATATATATATTTCTAAAACTTTAATATCGAAAATCAAGAGTTAAATTTGACTTTATTATCATGATACGAATAATGTTTCTGTTAAAAAAAAAGTCGCTTGAAAATGAAATATATGGACATAACGGGCAGTATTCAAGATAAAGTCTATTAAACAATACAAGTTTTGGAGAAGCTAAAGTAGACTTTTTTTTAAAAAAATAGAAGAAAAACTTTTCAAATTAATATTTTAATCTGACTGGATTCCCTACTGACATCATCTATGCCGAGTCTGGAGACAACGTCTTTCAAAATTCTTGGCACTATTTGTGATCCTTCATTAGGCCTCTTGTTTTTAAGAAATGCTTGCTAAGCAGATGTAATTCCCAAAAATTGTTACATTAAAAAATAATTTGGTACGGTTTTCAACTCCTCATTCGCACATGATATAACAATTACACGAATATGAGAAATGCAATGCATATAAAAACACATTAATTTTTCCGTATTTAGCCTCTTTTGATTGTGATAATGAGCATATATACACAACAAATAATAATCACATGTTTTGTATACAATTAATAATAAGCACATTAACATTAAAAATCAAACATAATATCAGCATAAAATATAATTATTTACATATAATTCATAGTCCATTCACTTGGATTCAGTGTCTTCTTCAAAATTTTATTTATATATTTTCCGTATACTTGTACTTCCTTTTTTATTGATACGGCCGTTTATTTGCAAGTTTATCGGACAGTGATGTCAGTGTCTTGGTAAATCGGTCTAGTGCAAGGACACACAGTCATTGGATCACAGTTAGATATTACAAATCAACTCTAACATACGTCGCGAATAATAATGATTTTACTGTATAAGAATAAGCTGAAAGGACATAAAAAAAATTTATGACACAAGTGCTTGTTTTCCACGTCCCAGATCTCTCAATTCTCATTTGAGTTTTCTAATTATTTTATTTAGTTTTTCCACCAGGGTGTCGAAGTGATATCGACTTGTGGGTTCCTTATCCCAACATTTTAACATCACATCGTAACAGGCCTTCGGAGTGCCAGCAGGTGGAGAAAGTCTGTATCCTAAAAAAAAGTCATGTGTAATAAAATTATAAATAAAAAAAAGTTATAAAATTACTATATATGTAAAATTGACATTTCAGTTTAATTCACTAGTATCAGCAAGGCTTTTCAATAGACATTCTTTATTTTAGTCTGCAATATCTTTCCTCTAAAATTTTTAATGTGAAGCTATATGAAAACAAATTTTTAAATGGGGATCAGGGTTATCAATTTTAATTGCTGTAACAGTTAAGTACAATCTCATCAGAGACAGAGGCTCATGCAACTTAGATTCTTATCACAAAGTGCCATCGTCTCTATCTGTCATCTGCGGAGTGTCATTTGCCAATTCTGTTCACAAAACAAACTTGCACATGAGAAATTGGTTCGTTTCTTCCAATTACCTCCTACCCCTTTCTTAAGGATTTCAGTTTATTAAAATTATAGTTATTTAAGCAGGAATTTGGGGTGAACAATGTTTTGCATAGGAATATATAAAACACTTTTTTTTAATAGAAATATACAGAGAATAAGATTCCTTTTTATTTAACGAAGTTACTCTTTTTCAAATCATAATCAACAATCAACTTCCCTCTTTTACAAAATACTACATAGGAAAACTATTTTAAATTTTTTTCAGCATGGACACTATTTCAATATTATTACAATTGTCAAAAAGATGGGAGCTTATTCATTCAATTCATTGATCCTGGGTGCTAGACTTGAATTGCGAAAGGAGGCATTTTTCCGATGTCATTTTTGACATAGAAAAAAGGATGTAAATAACCTACGAAAAAGATGTTTGATGCAGAAGTATCCATCAATTTTAAATTTTACTTAAGCACAAACTTTTCACGAAATACTTATATTAAACAGTACCTTCAGCAACTTTTCCTATCGCTTCATATTTATTCATGTCACCGTAAGGTATTTTTCCAGATGAAAAAATTTCCCACATTAAGATTCCAAAGCTCCAAACGTCATTAAAAGCTGTGAACTTTTCTGAAAGATTTAAAAGGACTTCAGAAATAAGTGTAATAATTTTTCCTTTGATCGATGTATGAAAGAAACAAAATTGGACGGAAAGTGCCATCAATGCGGGTAGCGCATTGATGAAAAAGGTTACCGAACAAATATTTTTCTTCGATACACCGATCAAAGGAAAAATATTACATTCATTTTTTTATTATGATTTTAATCCATAAAATGAAAATTTCTTTCACTTTACAATTAGAATTATGCATCAAAACAGTGCGTACGAATATATCACGTTGCTGAAATTCAAAATGACTCTAGGCCTATAGGCCTAACGACAAAATAGCATTCTCAAATATCGTCATGTCATTTAATTTACAGATCTTTGGCACAAAACAAACTTACCTATTGTGTTATTATTTTTTTTGCTATATCCCAATGGGTATATTTACCTTGTAAGTTACCCAAGTTCGTTAATGTTAGAAGAAGCTAACCTAATCTTAACTTAAGGTCACAGAAGTTTTGGATTTCATTTGCACATCTTTTCAGCTGAATTTCAACCCCCCCCCCCCAAAAAAAAAAATATATGTTGCCGATTCTTTAGAATTAAAAAAAAATCTGTCCCCATTCTGGCAGTGTCTTTTTATCGATCATTTGTTTCCTAAGATTTAAAATATTTACGGTATTTCCTCGCTTTGGTAACATTTAACAAAAGTATAATGATTATCATTTCTTTCCTTCTTCCCAATAACTGTATATTGTCGTCATGCAGACAATTTGATTTGTCAAGCAAAGGGGAATAATTAAAAAAGGTAGTAGAAAATAGTTAAGGGACATAATGGGCAGATTGCGAAATTTAGAAAATTATCTTTTAATTTAAAAGTATATAATTTTTCCTTTAAAAAGTAATCAGGACGTGGGAGATATGCATATCAGTTTTTCTCCTTACATGTTTTCAAGGATGTACTTCGTAATGTATTTATCATTATATGTCCATCTTAGTACCATTCTTATACTAGAATATTGAATAGAACTGTTTTTGTTTTTTTGTTTTTTGTAAGATGCTAAAAATATAAAGACAACCAAAGTAGTTCCGGCTGCTTAGTGAGAGCAAACTCTAGATTCTATTGATGCAGTTATCAAAAGAATTTTTATCCTATCAGAATCAATTATTTTACAGAAAGTAAATGATATAAGAAAATCTTTAACGTTTAGGGATAAGGTTAATTTTTTTACAGACTGTCGTTTCAAATGTATTAAGGGTAGAATATTTGAAATGGATATCATTTTACTTAAAATAATCTTTTAAAAATGTTAATTTAGCTATATATTTTATACATGTATTTAACTTTATTTATCTTTAGTCACATATTACGGGTAATGATTTTTTTTTTTTTTTTTTTTTGCTTTCTAAAGCGACAGTTTTTTTTTCTCACAATACTGTTTTAAATCGAAATAGCTTCCATATCCAAAAATACAGGAATTTTTCTTTCAATTCCACTTCTCTGGTTTCCTTTGCCTGTAGTTTTGTAACACATTGCCCTAGGTAGTGGCTTCATGGTTGAAAGGGCGAGAAGTCACACTTAGTGAGAAGATTATAAACATGGAATACGACGACAGATTTGGAGAATTAAATTGGCTTTGTACATTTATTAGTTATATCCTTTTTGAATATTATTAATGGAAGAATATGAAGAAGGATATGGGGATAACGAACAATATACAATATACAATATCAAAGTCCATAAAACAATACACAATAGGAGCAGTGCAAACATGGACCTCCAAAACATCAGAGGTGGGATAAGGTACCATGGAGGAGTGAGCATCCCCTGCTGACTGTTTACACCAACCGTATGCTCTTTGTCATGATCGGGAAAAAATGGAAAAATCCGTCGTCAATTCAGTGTAGAAATAATGGACTGACAATTAGTATTAAAAATATCAGTCAGCATTTGACTCAATGAAAACTTGATTGTACTGACAAGGTCATTGTATTGACCACAAAATGATGACTTTAAACTAGACTGCTGATATTATTGTTTCATCGACTTGCTTGTCAATAATTTACCTCCTTTTAGAAATTGGTCATAAGTATAGCATGCATAGTATCGAATCAACTAAGATATATTGCTGCATTAGTAAGGGAAAATGACGATAGAAAAGTTAAAATCATCACGTTTATCATATAGCTTGGTTGTTAGATTACAATCCTTTTCAAGTAAAATATCCAAGTATGAAAAAGATGTGTCAGACTCTGGAGTATCTTTTATCTCAAGCTCACCGGGATATATCATATCGACGTAGGAATGGAAATTACCATTGCCTGTATGTTACAACAAGGTAACACAGATCCGCCTCATAAATGACAATGCTTTTCCGTAATTTGCACTTCGGTTTTCATTTATTTATAATGCAAATCAGCAACTATATTCTCTCTCTTTCTCTCTCTCCCTTCCCTCCTCTCTCTCTCTCTCCATCTTAAAACACACAAAACCTCGAATACCTGAAAGAATGGTTTCTGGGGACGTCCATTTCTTCGCATAAACAACTTCAATATCACTTGGAAACTCTTCTCCTTCTTTTGACATCCAAAAGTTATAGATCTTAACTGTGGAGTCTTCAGAAACTAGACAATTTCTTGCGGCAAGATCTCTTTACAAATAAGAAAATACAAGATTTAGATGGATTTTGAAAAACAATTAAATGAGATATATCTTCCACTGAATGTCAAAGTTAAGAAGTTTAGAAATGTATTACTCAAATGTATCTTTTTCATTCTTTAAACCAACGTATTAAGTAGCACATACAACAAAAAAAACATATAAAGGAACACTTTAAAGTTTTTAGACTATTTTTTTTTGTTCTTTTCACTTACAAAGGTACAATGTATAAGGCCAAAATGAAAAGTGCTTCAAATAACATAGTATGCATTTATTCGTGCCGAACAGAAGATTCCTAGCATTAATTCGAGTTTATGTAATGCCTCGCAGTCACAAGATGAAACAAGCCCTTTAAGCTTGGTTTAAAAGTGGTAAGGTAATATTTACACCACCATTTAGGTTACTAATAAGCCATCTCATAGTCCTTAATGGGTGCTTAAATGTTGCTTAATGGTAGCTTAATGGTGGCCTACAGTTCCTGACTAGTAGCTTTTAGACCACCATTAAGTCAACATTACAGCCCCTGAAAGGTTCTACTTTCGAACCTGAACGTTGAACGAACGGTGATTGAACGCAGAGCGATGGGTCAGAAAACGATGTGCGAACGCTGAACGCAACTTGGTGAACGATGTGTGAACGGTGAGTGAACGCAGAACACGAACGAAGAGCAAACGCGAGCGCCAAAAGAACGGTGAACGAAAGGTGGACGAAAGATGAACAATTTATTCGGAATGCCTCCGATCTTTTCCTTGCATAGAAATTATTCTATTATTCTATTCTAATTTCTGGTGCTAAAATGTAAATATACAAAAGATAAATAAATAAATAATTAATAAAAACATTTCTTTCTGCAAATACGTATGTTTCACGATTTTTGTTGCCGTAAAACACATGTATTTATTACCGAACGCGTGTAGTATAAATAGAGAATTAATGTACTTATATAGTAAATATGCTTATTCTTTTAAGTAATGCAATAGTGATAAAGCTAATACTTATAGAATTAATTAATAACATTGTACCACGGTTGTAATATCCATTTTTCCGTGGTAAGGCGATTCCGAGTAAAATAACGGATTTTTAAAAAAAATATATATATTTACAAATGTCTGTTGACGTGCATAAATATATTCCTATTTTTAAACTTAAATGCAAAATATTTTATATATATATATATGTTTCATTTTTTATTTTTTATGATGATTATTTTAGCAAACTTCTACATGTATCTTTTATCATTTCCCTGACGTTATTATACTCGGTCAAGATGATGGATAGAGGAATTCATATAATTTGTAATAGATAAGTAATATGCTGTCATAGATTTGAACAGACAAATTTACAAGAGAGAGATAGAGAAATAGAGAGAAAACCCTTTATTCTGTTGTATCAAATAAAAATTCTTATTATTTTTCCTAAATATTCCAGGCAGTAAAAGTGATCATTTTTTTAAGATTAACAAATTCATTTAGCAGTTATCATCGGCTTTTATTTTACTTCTTCAAGTTCACATGGTTTACACGAGTTCCACATGCTTGTCCTGTCAATCAAAAAAAAAAAATTAGATACAGTGGAGGTGTAGAAATCTCGTTTCACCGAACAAGCCGAAGGCATAGAGCAACTTAGTATTTCAAAGAAGTTTTAACATTTTTTCGTATCATTTCTAGATCTGATTTCCACATTTCTGAAGAAAAAAATAATTTAGATATATTGGGAATAGATACTTGTCCCTCGTTCCCTTCGTGATCGGGAGGCCCGGGTTCGATTATCGTTCGCGGCGCCGCGTCAAACCTAGGACGTAAACAAAGGAAGTGACTGTTCCTTCGCCAAGCGCTCTGCATCAAAAGTGAAAGTCACGGGTGTTTCGGATATGACCTTAAAAAACGTAGGTTCCGTGTCACGGTAGGTGCTGGCACGATAAAGAACCATCACTGCTCAATGGCCCTGAGTGCCGAGTATAGGTCTAAATTTGAAGCCCTTCACCGGCATACGGTGACGTCTCCATATGAGTGAAAAATTCTCGAGAGGGACGTTTAACAATATACAATCAATCAATCATACTCCCTGCCAATTTAAAATAACACAGTTGGAACGTATATATTTTGAAATACTATAGTTTGATGAATATATTGATGTTTGCTTTAAGACTTGTTTGGTTTTTTTGTGTGTGTTACAATACGCATTAAATGTTAATTAAAATATACTGAAAATACTTACTAAGATATTGATTTCGGGAGAAAAGGCACAGGGAGGGGGCATGGAAAACATATATTTCATTACAGTGAAGGAAGGAATTTTCCCTTTCTAATATTTGACTAAATACCTGTATACGTAAAGTAGAAAAAATATTCTAATGTTTTAAGATTTTGAACAATTTGTCTTTTTTTTTTTTTAAAAAAAAACACCCTATCAATTTCGTTCGGCTGTACTGTTCATGAGTATCAGAACAAAATGTAGTTCTAACATGTTTTCGAACATTTTTAAAAAACGTGTTAGAAATATTTTTTTTTGTATATAATTGCTGCTATTGATGAATTAAAAGATATGGATTATTGTCCATCCATTACCGATTTGTTGTCGTTTAAATAACAAAAAAATGTTGCCGTGTTTGAAGTATTTGTACATTGTCTTAATTTAAATTTAATATTTAGGCATCGTTCTACATACATGTTAGAACTTAATGTGCTTATAACATTTATTTTCCAGAGAAATTCTATGAATAAAGTAACAGCTAAGTTATGTTAATAAAATTATAAATATCCTAGATAATTTTTGCCATAAAATAATAATTCTTCAAACATGATATCTTATTTATTAAATTAAAAGAATGAACTTTATTTTTATAATGATTTACTCTCATAAATCATAAATGTCGCGTTAACACAAATCTTGAATTGGTAAAAATAAGGAAAGAGAACAAAAAAAAAATCCTCCCAAACCGGGAACGAACTTAAGACTATATATAGAACTCTTGTTTTTTTTTTCTCTTCTTGAATATAGAACGCTTTACCGTTAGGCTTTCACCGCTTATGATTTTCCTTGAAAATATTTAATCTTTATTTTTTTTTACAAAATTTGTTTGAACTAGTGAAAGTATTCTAATAAATGTTTCCAAAGTCTTGAATTGTTTTATTAATTAAGATATAAATTATAATATTCATGGATCTTTTAAAAAAGGCTTATATATTACAGTTACATGTCTACCCGTTGAGTTCGGCTTTTAGATTGATGGAATGAATTATTCAATCTGTTATTCGAAGATTTATAAGCATGAAATCATGATTGAATTTAAATTAATTATAGATAAAACACAAAAATCTATCATGGAAAAAGAAAGATGAAAAACGAAGTCAGAGTCTAGGTTGTTTTTTTTTTAATATGCTTGGGATATTAACTGTTTTTGTGTGTAAAATTTAATGACAATCCTTGCCAAATAGTTACGTTTACAAAAACTTTTTTTTTTAGAATATCATCTTTAGTTTATTTTTTTCGTATCAAAAAACTTTTCCTTTTACAAAGAATCATATTTTTTTATTTGCTATATGATTGCGTTAAATTAACCTTTGTAAAAATAAATGATCATCAAAATCTGTCACTGTATGTTGAGTATATATAGTTTCCTGTTAGTGCTTGGAGACTGGTGTACACAACTTATTCAGGTCTATTATCTGACCAGTCGGTATACTGTACACCGTTAATCTGTAAATTTCCCTCCCGCTTCCCAATGTGTACATGTATCTGGTCGGATATCGTGTTTAATCTAATCAGCTGTTTTTCTGAAAATCGATTTTGAACTAACAATCTGACATTAAAGACAAACTATATTTTGACAGATACTTACCACTGCATTATTTAAAAAAAATACTGACATTTAACAAAAATTAATTCAAATTATTCATGATGTACTAGTCAATCTTGGAAAACTAAACATTTTTATACCAGTGACCTCCCTTTCTTAAATTCAATTTTTTTTCATAAATGTTTATTTTGAGATACAATTATGTTAAAAGAAAGATTTTGACTCATTAATATGTACTTTTTAAATAAATTAACATACTTAAAACCATTAAGGAGAGAAGAACAAAATCGACTTTCAAAAAAAAAAAAAATAGTATCTTTTGTTTGCTTTTAAATGTTACGGAGACATAATAATTTCTGCTTTATTTGCAGACAAATGATCTAGATCCCTTCATGATAAGCCTGGTATAATGAAATGAACCCTGTTATTTACAACCACACCGTATTTTTAGAAAAATATGTTCCTCAAAAATAACTAAATAATAATACATATAAAGCTGTATTTACCTATGAATACATTTATTGCCATGCACGTATGCCATTCCCTTTGCAACTCCTAGGCACATTTCGGTTCTTTTTCTTGCAGTCATGAATTCCCCCTTCTCTCTAAGATAAAGCAGCAATGAACCACCTGCATAAAATATCTAAAATTCACACTGATAATAAACGCATAACATGATTGTTATTAATTTTACTCTCAGTGGTATTTGAAAAGGCCATTCTTGATTTATTTTAATATTTTATATCATTAATGGTTCCAAGTTTTTGTATATTTGGCGTCACATTTTAACACTTCAGATAATATGTGTTCAGAATCTTTGTTTGACAATAACTATTAATAACTATTAATAACATGCATTTTTCATTAATTAAAAACATAAATAACAGGTTTATTAAATTCAGTATAGGAATTGAAGTTATAATCTGATATAATTACATGTATTGCACTAACCGATCGCCGTAGTCGTGAATTTCGACAAATGTATCCAATGTGTAAATCGGCTTGAAAGGCGATTTTGCTTCGAATTCATCAGGCTTAGAATTCTATTTCGATGGGAATATTTCCTTCAAGGCTACTTGTGATCAGTAATAGGGAACAGATTGATGTGTATAAATATTTTTATTTGTGAAAATTGATCATGAGTGCTGAAAAGACACAACAAAGTGAAACACGTCCGAAGATTAATGTTAAAAGGTTGGAGAAATTTCTGTTGCATGAAAGGGATGGATGAGTACATGTACAATGGTGTTGTCACTTATGAGAGCCAGTTATCCTAATTTGCAATCAAGTATTGAGTTTGAAGAAAAACATTCAATCTACAATTTCAGTAACTAAAGTCATATTTATGATGTCTCTAAACACGTTGACACTGGCGACAGCTGGTATTAAGCTAGGCCTACGATAGCACCGATCAACGTGTTTGTCAGCTGTTTGTGGAGTGATTGCAACGCTATGATATTTTCCAACAGATTTACACATTTGTCGTGAGTAGAGTTCAATGAAAAAATAAAATTTTAGCCTTTCTTTTCACGATTTACCTTAAGATCTTCCATAAAATAAGGATAAACGTTAAAGACAGTATAGCTGACATAAACAACCGTTTACAGCTAGTTTCTATTGGTACAATTTCTATATACAAAGGTTAAATCGGTCACCAAAAGTGTATAAAATACTTGTTTACACTGTAAAAAACAATTATTAAGGTCTTCCGACTTCCTTCGGAAGACATTACTGTTTTTCTTATATTTCCTATTATTATTGTTATTCCCTTTTTTCATAGTACACATGATTTCTCAGAAACTACTGAACCGATTTCAAAGATTTTTACAGGAATTATACAATGTTGGAATATCTCAAGAACGCTGTTTCTATTTTTAGAAAAATCACTTCCGGTCACTTTTTTCTCCGATTTTCTTTTTTTTATTGAAATTGCCATTTTGTCCAAGCATCTTCTACTTAACCACTCAGGATTGAATCATGATATTTTCAGGGAAATATCTCTTTGAGTTATTCAATTCGTCTTTTGATTTTGTATCCGTCATTTCCGGTCGACACTGTAAGTGATATTCAATTTCAAGATTTTTTGAAAAATTCAACCGTTCTTAAGGTAAACAAAACTTATGTTCACATTAACAATCGTCAGCAAAACTCATCTGTTGGAAAAACTTCCGGTGTAAACTGGAGATAGTATTAAAAAAATTAACTGTCTCTCTTGAGTCAAAAGAAATAGAATAAAATGGTTTTATTTGAATTTTTAAAAGTTATTTTTGTACTTGTAACTTTAATGTCAGCCGGAAATGATACCTTAATTGTGTAAATTCTTCAAATAACGTCACTTTCGGTAAAAGTGGAAGTAATCAAAAAATGCAAATTTTGCGTTTTTTGACATGTTATTGGTTAATTAATGGCACTATAAGCGTTCGACTAAATTTTCCATCCCTTGACATCACTTCCAGTCAAACTGGAAGTAGCCAAAATAGCTTTTTTCTGCAGAGTTTGACGTAAAATTGATTTTTTTTTAATTTTAAAGTCCCTGGAGGCGTCTTAGTTCATTGCTTTCTCTTGTTGACGTCACTTCTAGTCGAAACTGGACGGAAAACCTACTCGTTGCTTTGTAACGAGCTTTGCTCAAGTTCTACTTATATTTTTCATTTTTCATACATGAGAAGCAAGTAGAGCATTTCATTTTATATTTATGGACCGGTAGATTTTATTACGCCGTGCGATTCGGCCATATGTTGACCTCTGACCTCTGACAAACTTCAAGCAGAATTGAAGATATTTGCTCTCTGAACGTTTATATAATCGAAAGACCCTGCAAATGTATATATTTGAGTATATTACCAAAACTTACCAGAAAGGTATTCTATCACAAGTAAAAAAGGTTTTTGCATTGCTGAAAATCCAATGAAATTTACGATATTTGGATGGTTGAATTGCCGTAAGAACTTTAGACTTTGAAAAACTGCACTTCCATTATCATGAAAATTTTGGAGAAAAACGGTTTTGGAATCATATGTTCCTATAAAAAGACATGGGAATGGTGGCGAATCCTGCAAAAGTTGAAATGCATTTTATCTATTATGACAAAATTCTTTTTTTCTTGACAGAACATGAATAAAATTCCTTATGGATTTGAACCTTTTATTTAAAAATTTAATTAATTATTAATTAAAAAATTTCTTCAAGTAATCTGCAGTCTATAATAAAAAATATTAACCGTAAATCTGTATATCTTTTATTTTTTATTAACTTTTATAATGTACAAGTAAATCGCAACTTGTTGAGGTCAAAATCTAGTAAATTAGTGACTTTAGACTAATTTTGTGGTGCTAGATCCATTATGACGTAATAATGACTTTCTTTCGTACTTTACGACCTTAGCAGAATCATGCAGGAAATATGGTATTTTCAGATCATTTAATTAATAATCAAATGAAAAGTAAACCAGATACCTAAAATATTGCCTTTTTTCGAATAAGAAAACAAAAACCTCCCATTTTCAAAACTAGTTTTCTAATTTTTTACATTGAAAATGACAGTTTGAAATATAGTTTTCCATCTTTTTTACCTACAAATTATAACCCGAAACACCAAGCTAAAGTTATAAAGCATCTTTATAGGAATTTGTCCCTCAAATTGGATATATCTTTCATATACTAAATCTTGAACTTGAATTACGATTTACAATCATTTCACATTACTGTAACTTTTAATCGGTAATGTTGACGTTCACAGTCAAAGTAATATTGAACAATAATACTTTTACCTTCAAAATCTTTGAACCAAGCTTGATCTTGTCGTAGGCAAGGTGATTTTTTTCTCGAGGTATTGGATTGACCAAAACAGCACGATCGGTTGAATAATGTTCCCCTGTTTTCATCAAGTAGTTTATCCAGTCTACCATGGTGCCACTTGGTCCGACGCTTTTCTTGAAAATATTTGTAATTTCAAAAATAGTATTTCTGTAGCATTCTTCTGCCAATAATATTATCATAAACACTTTTTTGACAATGATCTCAAATCATTCAACATACGAATGAATGTATGAAACATATAGAGATACCAAACAGTAATCAAAAGATCAAAAGTCCATAAAACAATACAAAATAGGAGCAGAGCAAACATGGTCATCTAGCTAAAAGGTACATGAATTATTGCATAAAAACTAACAAATAACAGTGACATAAGTAATACCTTAGACTTGTAATTATAACCTAGCTTTCATTTTTTTTAAAGTTATCGGTACTCTCAGTGAAGTTAATTGCAATAGAATACTATACTAGCACAGGCTTTGTCTGCTACCCAATCCAATTCTCATTTATTTTTGAATAAAAGTTTGTATATACATGTACAAAATATAAATTTGGGATTTTGATTTAAATCTACCACTTCTTTGGTTGCTTCGAAAAAAAAGAGATAATGTCAGGCTCTTTTGTAAACTTGATCTTGAAAAGGGAAGAATAACTGCAAATCATGTAATTATTTCAATATGTAAAACATCTGCAATCTTTATCTGTTTATCTTTTTCAACTCAATTTCAATAAATTGATATCACCAAGTTGGCATACGTATTGGATATATGCCGAATACAGTTCTGTATTAAAAAATATCAGACAGTTTGAGGCCCGTTAGGGCCGAAAACTGTCTGATATTTTTTAATACAGAATTGTATGAGGCATATATCGTACTTAAAACATTGCTTTTGATTTACCTGAGACAGTCCGATATTAGAACAAAAGACAAAGGTGTAAATGACCGCTGAAGCAATTCTTTCAAGAATGTAGGCTTAAATGAAAAGTATTCAGTATTTAGGGATTTGGCTACACTGAAAAAGGTATTTGAAAAAATTTGATAAGGAGAGTGGGGACAAAATATTCATTGATTTTGAAGTGGAATGGAAAATGCAGAAATGAAGAATTATATAACAGAAAATTAAGCGGATGCTGAAGGTACATTAAATTAGTCCATTTCATTTTTTCATGTTAAGCTTCTACATATACCTTTGTTTTTGATGTTCCGTTACAGAAAACAAACATAATCAATAATCCAAGAGTTTTGAGGGAAACGTTGAAAATCTTCAAATTTCTTTCAAAATTTGTTGCAAATCTGTCAAATTAAGTATGAAATATCATATGCTAGGCCTAGTTACCTTGATTTTGCAGAGGAATTTTCCTTTCTATAAGAAAAATAATATCAAATTGTTTGAATGTTGTTCTTTATAATAGTGTCTAAAGTTTTGAAAGTTTTTGTGCTTCTCTGGTGACTCCAAGTGCGCCCCCTCTTATTCAAAAACCAGAGAGGGGGGTTGAGACACTTGTCCAATTTTAATAAGTTTATTAAAAGTTTATCCGTTTTTGTGGGGTTTTTTTGTTTATTTTTTATTTATTTGCATTATCTGGTCTACCGCACATTCTTCTTCCTGTTACAGTATATTCAATGTAATTGCAAATATGTAAGATCAATGTTTTCTAAATCATCATTCTATGTAAGAAATTTGAATTGCTGTTTGTTAAATTATCACACTTTTTATTTCTTTTGTTCAGTAGCAGTCCGATTTTGAAGGATATCAGTACTGAGACAGTCTGATATTAAGATTAATATCAGACTGCTCACTAATATCGGACTGCCATAGGTAACTTTTTAGACTGCAAGAACAAAGGAATGACATCACAGCAATGTTTTAAAGTTAAGATACCAATTAAATTGGAAATTAAATTGAACGAAAGCAAAGTGGCTACTGCATTAAATAAGTTAATACAGTATACCGTTCTGTATATGTGTAGTGTATTTCTCAAGCTCAGAGTTTGAAATATATTGTCAAGATTAAAGCAGTCGCAATTCTCTCCTTAAAGCTTACGAGGGAAAACTATGTATTAAGGCCTTAAAAATACGTTTCCTGTAACATTCCCAAAAAGTCCATAGTCCATAGTCGATAGATCAGGATTCTATTTTTTGGCTTACGAATAACAGGGCCCCCTGTGTGAATCGATCAATCGTTATATTTATAGCAGACGCACAGCATGGCTGCCTAGCGACAGAAATAGATGATTGAATCCTTGTTACGTTATGTAACAATAATGCTTACTCATTATATTCAAGGTAAATGTTCATATACTTAAATTCTCAAATAAAGCTACAATTAATATTTTTGAATAAATGGAATCAGCTGATTGATAAAAAAAAAAAAGAGATTTGGCTGGAAGAAAAATTGGCCCTGGGGTAATTTGCAGGGTCGTTCGAGTAACAGAAAACAAACATTAAAAGGGACGAACTTTACATTATTCTCAGGGATGCGCAATTTAAACTTTGTGCAGTAAATCAAGTTTAAGCACGCAATTTTTTTTTGCGTGGACCTCAGACTCTACGTAATGAAAAAGCTTTATATTTATAAACAATCATCAAAATAAAGTCTTACTAAAATATCGGCTGATAAAATCTTGGTATGCACCGGCTTTTCTCGATAAGCAGAAATAATCAAAGAGCGCTCTTCTTCTGGTGTACTATCTAATACTCGAACCAAGAAATCACCGTCTTTCTTCAGAAGTCGTTCAGCTTCCTTTCTTGGAATATATCCATGAAACCAGGATTCTCTTTCAAAGTTAACTTCATTGACAACATTTTCTTTCTGTTTAAAAAGATTTTAATTATGAGTTAAGTGACAGTGAAAGTACGACTATCCTGAATATCATATATAGAGGGTTTGGTTTAAGCGAGAGGGATAGCGGAGACTTGCATTTCAAATGCAGTATCAGGAACAAGTATTTGAAATGACTATCCAAAAAAAACTTAAGTTTTACTGAGGGTTTTCATATTTTTTCCTTTACTCTAAGTTTATATGACTCTTTTAAGGAGGCTGGGGGGTCAACAAATTAATCATAAATTAACCACCAGATTTAACTTATATTTTAAGATATGGTATCTTAAACTGTCAACTATCATTTGGCAAAGAAAAAATTCTTAGATTTTAATTTTAAAATTTGATCATTTTGTATATCTTTATATGGAGCTCTTCTTTTAAAGGAGATAGAAATAGTCTGAAAATGGCTGCCACCCCCCCCCCCCAGCCTCATTAAAAAGAAACGCATAGTAAGAACACTACTCTGAAAAATGTAAGATATATTGTCATAAAACTTTGTTTCAGATGGAAACAATTATTTTTAAATGCAATTGTTAAATATTCAGATATTTTACAAATCTCACAGACAAAAGGTAATGATTTGCAAACTGCCCCCCCCCCTTCAAAAAAATGATCTCAATTGTCATTTGTTGGTTACGTAGGAGAGACTATCAAAAACAGGCCTAGGGTTCTAGATATTTTGAATTTGGTTTTATTCTGAAAATTGACGCTACCTAAAACTGCTGCATCTGAATGTTTCATGCGCAAAAAAGGAAATGATCGATTATAAGCAGGTGTAGCACATTCTATATATTGGAGAAGGTTTTATGCTTACGCACCACATCTTACATATCCAAACATATACTATTAAAAATGAACTACAAATGTTTGCAACAATATGGCAGAATACCTGTGACATCAGCAGCACAGGATCACTTCAGAGGAACATGTAAATTTCATGCATGTTACACAATGAGGTCATCTACAATACTGGTAAACTGCACATAGCATTTCACAAGACAGAACGTTACAATTGACTACATAAAATTGGATTTATTGGAATTATGCCATTGTTCTGACCACGCAACTCTCCAAGTATCGAATTCAAAGACGCGTTTAATGAATATAATAGAAGATGCTTATGTCATTAACCATATTGGAGAAACCTTGAATTGATATAAAAGTCAAATAAGTATGTATATATTTAAAGAAAATAATAATTAATTACCTCCTTTTCTTTTGTAACATCCTTAACAATTAACGTTCCAAATAATGAAGCTATCTCCTCTTCTTGAATTTTCTTGACATCAAGAATCGGCATGAAGTTATTTAAAGGTTTGGGAAACTTTCGCAACTCTGGTTTGATCCCACTGTACTCTAAAATGGCTTTAGAATCATTGCTTGAAAGTAATGACTTTGTTTCTCGAAGGGTTTTTATGATGTTTTGCTCAGCTGAAACATTTTCATTGTCTTCTTCTTCAATTTTTGTGGTGTGTTGTTTTACTTTTTCTTTTAGCGTGTTCCCAAAATCTTTGACAGCCTTACAAATGACATTTTCCTGTGCAGAAATGACCTCAGTCGTACTTTTATTTCTTTCTTCGTGGATAATATCTTTATGCTTTTGCAATTTAGGTAGAAGCAAAGTTTCAATTTCTTTTATGTCTTCGAGAATACTCTGCCTCTTTTCCTCAAGAAAATCGTCAAGGTCTGTAAAATCATGCTGTTTGTGAATTCCAACAACGCATTTCGTGCAGATTGGGATTTCACAATTTCTGCAGAATATCTCACAGTTGTTCGACGTGTGAGAGGGGCACTCAGGACCTTTGAGAGATTCCTTTTCGCCGTTAAACCCCACAACTTCATGCACTTTTCCTTTGTCGAATAAATGTTGAGATGTGCATTCGCTGCATAGTTTAACGTTACATGTTTTACAGTAATAATCGACCTCATTAACACAAAGGGAACATCGGATGATGTCCTGTGCAAAATGAAGAGATGAAGCCATTTCCAATATTTCAATATCAGCAATGTTTCAATGTCAATGTGTTACTGAGATGCACTTCACTTGCCAAAACATTTTCCACACCTAGAGATATCGATAAACCAACATAAAGTGAATAACTTAAAACAAAAGATAATACAATTGCTTGCAATAATAATTATTATTTAAATTTTTATATTGCATGGACAAATTATTTATGGATATGTTATACGTGAAACCAAATTAATGAAATACCGGTATCTGATTGTTTGTTTCTTGAAGAAACGTATGATACGTTTACTTGTTAATTTTTTTTTTTTTTTTTGAGCATTTAGAAATTTTTGAACAGCAACCGTTGTAGGAGTTAATGCATTTTCATTATACAAACAGTACAACCCCACCCTACCTAGTCATAACCTTGCGTTTTTTTCTTAATCCAATGTGCTATTGGGATTTTCACCAAAAAAAATTCTTACTTTATAATCATTAAATCCCCGAAATACACTAAAACTCTTGAGCCAGATGACTTGAAATTCACAATTTTAGCAGAAGCATCCTGCTTAAAATAACATTGCAATTAATCTGCTAATTATATGTACAAGAGCAAGAGAGAACATTTTTAAGGAAATTCTTCCAAATAAGACTTTGCCTTAACACAAGAACCCTTGTCGCAGAGAACATGACATTGACAATTTTGAATAAAGCATCTATGTTCAACTTGAACATGTATTTAGTTGTTTTTTTTTTTTTTTTTTTTTTTTTTTTTTTTTTTGTTTTTTTTTTTGTGCAATAACCAGGAAAATAAAGCAATATTGTCATAGAATTAAGGAATATTTACATTATAATGAGTAGTGTTCCGCCCTAAAACCAGAACACCTTACCCAACGGGCATGGAATTCACAATTTTGAAAGCAATTTTTTTTTCATTAATTCCCAGTAGCAGAGAAGAAAAGTTGAAATAAATCAAGAATTAATCAGTAGAGCACTCCAACACATTACCAAGGCAGTGACACTAGGGACACAATTTTTACAATATTTGACGATTCCCTTGTTCTTAATACTTGTAACCATTATTAATTTTAGCGGTCAATATACATCGAACAGAAAAATGTGTTTTAAGAATTTCATTCATTTTTACTATAGATACGATTAATAAAACCCAATCCTATTTCCAGAACCCCTGACGCTGAGGCCATCTATTTCACATTTTGGTAAAGACGATGTCTTTTATAACCATAATATTCATGTCAAAAGAACTTGATATCTAGGAGGAAAGAAAGATATTTTTATAGATTGCATTAATGTTGAAGGCTTTAGCCCCCCCCCCCTTTTCAGGCACCAGGATTGCAGGGACCCTAAAATATTCTGTTTTTATTTACTCATAAAATTGCTTAAAATCGACTTCATGACACGGAGTTGAACAGTTCACAACCGACACAAGATCCACGAAAATGGACAATAACGGATAGCAATGAATGCAAAAGGTAACCTACGGTTTGTGCTTTTTATGAAAAGCCGTAGATTGCAATTCCTGGTAATTTTCTCGAGTCAAGAATCATATTTTGGTATAGAAAATTATTAATAAAAACATTGTTTATAATTCATATCTAGTACAAATACAGTTAGGTAACGTGTAATCAAGAAAAGTTATATTTCCTGGTATAATTAACACAAGACGTACGAATAATTTAGACATGTCAAAAAAAAGTAGAGATGGCAATTTGTAACCGATTAATCTATTGCTCTGTCGGAACGATGGAAATCGGTTAAAGAATCTGTGATTGGTTAATCGGAAAAAATAAAATTATATGTAAAATTGGAGACAGTTTTCTTAGAAATTCATTTTTATAGCGAAATTTCTGAACAAAGTTTGATAATTTAGCGTTAAAGAATCTACAAAAGATCATTTTGCCTTCTATAGTGAGATCATAATTAGGCCCTTCATACTGAGACCGTGATTTGGCCCTCCATATTGAGACCGGACACTGTAAATTCACATGCGTGCTGTTTTTAGTAAGGCCTACCTATTAAATGAAATTATTAAACAAATTAAAGTAAATTAAGGACTTCAATTCAGATTAAGTTTTGATTATGGCGAGAATGTGTGACAAAATTGTGTGACATCTGCTCTAGAAAATTATCACTGATCTTAATCTCTTTTCGTGAATTTCTTAATTTTATGATATCCTCTGGAATAATTTTTTATTTTAAATACTTGTACGTATCTGATAAGAATGAAGAAGATATATGAAATGGTTTTAACTTCTAAAGTCTTCTTTGTTCTTTTTGTGTAAATGGATAGTGACTTATAAAATGAAAGAAATGTGAATTTAGATACGATTAACCGGTTAATCGGTCGGAACGTCTTATTGTTAACCGATTAGCATTTCTGTATTCGATTGCCATCTCCACAAAAAATTTGTAATGATATGTGTATTTAAAACGAGAGGCATTTTTTCGAGTATACCTGATCAGTTAGAATTCTTGATAATAACAGGGGTTATTATTACAAAAGAAAACTGAGCAATAAACAGACACCATTTCACTAATTCAAATACGAAAAAAAATACTATAACTTAATAGGTGCGAGTACGAATTGAACCGCATGGAAATTTTAACTTATTTTCATTAAAGAGTTATAATAATAGTCATGGAATTTGGGGGAAAAGGCATAACTAGGGTTAGAAATGTCCTTTTTAATGAAATATATTTTTGCTCTTTGAAAAGACTTTAAGAAAACATCGCACTATTTACGTTTGGTAAATCCCAGTAACCTGAAGATCTTATCTCAATTTTTTAATGCGCTTCGCATGTGTCAGATCTGGGATAGCATCTCTGCTGTGTGAATCAACACTTGTAAATAGAACATACACTTGACTACATTTTAACAGAATTATAAGATCATTTCCCACTAATTTGAGTTCTTTTTTAACATGTGTCTATCAATTGAATACCATTCTCGTACATCCTGGATATCCATCAAATACTTGTGTAAAGGTTCCAATATAATAGAATTTATTTCCCCCTTTCTATTGTTACTCTTTATGCATATTATGCCAAAAAATAAACATCATTTATGATAAATAAAAGATAAATAGAACCCTTGAACTTCTATTTAAAACTTTGATTTATACAACATTTAATAATATTTGTCAGTATAGATATTCATAGGGATATTGTAGGGATGATTTACTTTGTGTATATTATTCTTCAAACTTATTAAAAATTGAGAAAAAATTAACATAACATTAATTAAAGAGAAAAAAATGTGAAAGGTATTTTTACAAACACGTTACACCATATCACTTTTTATCATTATAAACAGAAAGTCTGGAAAGCAGAATTAGGTTATCAAAAGATAAAGATGAGTTGCCTATATAGAGCGAGCGATTCAGGGTTTCAAGCCTTAGATAATTAAAGGATGAACTTTAACCAGATCACAGACGAATGCAGACAAAGTAATTAATATGTCATGTGTCCTTAGAAAAGATCTTAAGTCTGGATTTTGATTTATTAAAGGTTTTCACAATATTCCATTACAACATGCGATACTTACTGCAACACATTGCATTTATTCCGCTTCATCAGGGTTAAAAACTAAACCAGCATCTTAAAATACATTTTGATCTCTTCACGCACACATCCAGTTATTTTCTATTGGTTAGTTCTGTTGTTAGGGTTATTCCATTTTCTCCATCTTGCAAGCAATAAAATTAGCTAACAAGAAACTGGAACAACTTGTAATGCGTAATGTGTTCTTGTATACGTATTCATGAAAACGTTTACTTCCCACTTTTTTCCATCTTTTTATTTTTTCTTGTCTAAACAATATAAACATTTTAAAGTAATATATTAGTATATAATTATACTATATGATATTCTATTGAAAAATAGTGAGTATAATTTTAGGTAATATATTGTTGTTTCCAATCTTATGTAGTTTAGTTATAACCATTGATAAGTCTTTTTTTTTAATAGATATACACTTGCCGAAATGTTAGATGATTAATTTTACGGTAATGAAATTATGTTTTGTTTATTCTATACCGCCTGGTACATTGTTATAAAATGACATGAAGCTGTTAATCATTTTTTGATTTGATTTTAAATTGATTTTAAAATGAAGAAATTAATATTAGAATCCTCCCCATTCTTTAAAAAGTGCAAAAATCATTACACATATTTCTTTCCTGGTACGGTCTAAAATCCGGCTCTGCAAATTTGAATTCTTTTTCAGATAATTTAAAAATGATAAGGTATGTCACTCCTGGAATTTGTTAAATCAAGGATTTTGTTAGAAGTATATTTTGGATAAGGTAAGTACTCATTAAGTGTGCCTCAAAATTGCAGAGAAAATAGGGGCTCAGTGTGCATCTTACTGGTCTACGGTACAATTAATTTTACCGTTTTGCACTAAAATTTTTTGGTTAACTACTTTAACCTTTATCATATTTTATCAAAGGGTTTACCATTGCAATAAATATAATTTTATTTTACATAAAGAAGTTTGAATGATATTGATCATTGAACTAATCTTGCACATTAATACGCGTAAATTATAGTTTTACCTTTTTGCACTAAAAGTAGCATATTTTGGGTAATGAAAAACTAAAAAGGCAATAAAACATTTTTATAAATTAAGCTTTTTATAAGACTTATAAGCGCTGATCAGTAACAAGATTTGAGTACTTTAAAATAATGAAAGAAAAAGTTGGGATCAGTGATGTTTATTTTGAAATATTGGTCAAGATATGGGATTTACTAGACATATCTTCATTTTTTGGTAAAATGTTTTGAAGGAAGGTGTAAACTTGTTCTAAAAATATAAATTAAGACCTATATTAAACATTTCTAGCAATATCATAACGGAAAATGTTCTCCGATTAAAAGTATGTGAGCTAAAGTTACAAGATATTAAATTTAATAAATGTGCAGATGTGCAGAATTTTCTGCTAAATATCCTTCCGCCACAAGAAATAGTCCCTCATAAGTCTTGCTTATTTGTAGCTTCTTAAAGCGGATTTTTTTGTTGAATTTAAAACATTAACATTAATTATTGAATTTA